GAACACTCAGCGTAGGATTCTGCAGGCACCTACCAGTTATCTGAGCTTCAGTCTTGGCCTGTGGACCCACTGATTGACAGACTGGGATGGGTGAGAAAGTAGGCAAACCAAAACCTATAAGAGCAATGTGAATAGAAAAGGGATAGTCTTTGATACCAATAGTGAGCAGTAGGCATACCAACCTTAGGTACCAGAAGGAAAATCAATAAAGAAAGTAGGAGACAGCCAGATTGATATAAAAATTCCTTTTTTTTTTTTTTTAGAGGTTTTTGCCATAGGGCACATATGCTGGCCAGAGAGAGAGAGAGTAAAAGGGAAAGTGAGAAATCACCCCCATGGGAATGGCCATGCAGCAATCACTTCTCCTCCTGGGATCTTGGGCACACATGCACATGTGCTCGGTGTGATTGTCCAGCCACCAGGTCTGGGACTCAAACTGCAACTGGCCACGTGAGAGTCCAGTGATGTAACCATTTCACCACCTGCTGACCCCTCTATCCCGATTTTTAATTGCTTTATTCCCAGGCCCTATCTTTGATATCTTTCTAGCCCCAGCCCTAGTTACGTACAGGAGCATCTCCTATGGGTAACGGAGTCATCAGTGTAAGAGATTAGCTATTTTCCCCATTTGTTTTGAACTTGTAGTTACTTTAGGAAACATCCAGTTATTTCTATACCTTTTGTAAGAGCTCCACACATTTGGAAAACAGTCATCGAGCTCTGTTGGTACACACTTATTCAAGACAGTGCCCCTCTTCCTGTCAGAGTAAACTTAAGGCAGCCACTGAGACAGAGGGCTTTGAAATCATACTGTCTGAACAGGAATCTTGACTTTTCCACTAACAGCTGCACAACCGGGGAAAGCTGACCTAGGGTTCTGGGGCTCAGTGTTCTACCTGTAGTGTAGGAGCTTCCAGAATTATGAAGATAAAAACGCTAAAACATGTATAAAATACTGAACACAGTGTCTACAGTGCTTCATAAGTATTTATTATTAATGTTCTTGGTATTTTTATTATTGTTCTGAGATGAAAATTACTTCCAGAGCCATCATGTTGTGCAATTCCTGGGGACGTCCTTAGTCCAGTTTTCGTGAAGCATGCCATCTTTTCTTTTGGTAATTTTTTCCCAGCCCATGACTTCATCTAACCGAAATCACTGTTCAGAGAAAATAGTCAGTACAATATCTATATTATAAATAGTTACTACCTTTAGATTTGAAATTTGAAATATACAGCACTAATTTATATTTATAGAATTTATTATAAATTTTAATAACTTTGTAAGTGTTTCTCTCTATATATTTTTTTTCTTTTTTTTTGGGGGGGGGAGAAGTTTTTTGCTATAGGGCGCGTGCGCTTGCCAGAGAGACAGAGAGAGACAGAGAGACAGAAAGCGAGAAATCACCCCCTGGGGGGATGGCCACGCCGCAATCCCTTCTCCTCCATTCTCCTCTTGGGATCTTGGGCACGCACACACACGCGGCCGGCGTGAGTTTAAGCCACTGGGTCCGGGACTCGAACCTCAGTCGACTACGTGGGAGTCCAGCGACATAGCCATTATGCAAACT